CAAACATTCAATTTCATGTTCATTATTATCCTTCCCCCTTCTCAACATGTTCATTGTTCTCCATCTCTTTCCAACTCATTTTATTCCACTCACCACTTACTATCACCGCCACACACTTACAACATCCAGTCATCAACAATCATTTCCCCTGCCCATATACATGTCACCTTCTATTTCATCACTATCATTTCCGGCTCCCCTTCTTCTTTCAGTTTCGTCGCACATTTTCGCTTACATCCATTTATCTATCTTTATTTATCTATGCACTTATTTGTTTCTTTTTTTCTTTATTTATTCAGTTAATGCTCTTCGTTAATTTTTTTATTTAGTTATTAACATATTTAGTTTTTATTCATTCTATCCATATATTTTATTTATAGCTCCCCTTTTTCTTCTTTTTTTTCTTTCATTTCTTCCCTTCCTTTCCCCATCTATTCATCCCTCTATTCCCCTTCTCTCCTTTCCATTCCCATATAAACTTCCATTTTAATTATGTTCATCATTTCCCTTCTCTTCTTCATTCCATGAAGAGTTGATACTAAAGCCGGGCACCTGCGGGTACCCAACTAATAAATATTTCCAATAAGGCCAAAAGAGTATATTGACGTTCCATTGTTGAGCAGCACTACAATTGATAATTTCATGTTTCATGTTAAAATTGATGTATGATGTTTTCCAGCAACGTAGTAACACGAATGTATATCAATCATTAGTCATTTGGCTGAGGCTCCATGCCTTTGTAACCACGATATTTTTCTATATTTAATAAATGAGTCCTTGTTTGGTGTCAGCTAACGTGTGCTAAATGACAAAAGACTGTTTGGGAAATAGGTCATAAGTATTTAGGTGCAAAATAACCTGAAAAATTAGAAAAACGATCGGAAAATAACAGTATGGCTCAGTTTATGCTTTCGTCAATTCTATGGGGCATCTCACATATCATTATGGAAAATAACCTTTTTTAGAAGACGCAAAACTTTCCCATCCCCACCTCCCCCAATCTCCACCTCCCCCCCAGTAAGTCCATATAGAAAGAAAGTCCAAACTCTTCTCAGTATCTAGTTTCTCCTCCAGCGCCGTTTCAGGGCATGAAAGTGAGCATGAATTGGAGAGGAAAGAGGAGGAATTATTGTTGTTGTTGAGTGAACTACGAGTTGATTGTCTATGAAGCCATAATTGTTTTTAGTATACACCAAAAAAATATCATAAAGAATACTTTTCTCGACATTGTTCCGCATATTTTCGCTTCATAGTCGACGTTGCATGAGTGGTATGAATAGAAATAGTTCATGTAGTAATCAATCAGAATACTGGATTTGTTATTGGGCAATAGTTTGGTGGATTTGAAAAAAAAACATTAAAATCAAGAATGGTACTGACTGCATGAAACTGGCTTGGGTGAGTAATAACTGGATGCAAAATAAAATGCATTTGACCTATTTGCACAACTCAGGATCTTGGTGTCCCATAGGTTAGGGGACACAATATGACCCCAAACATGTGGGGTGTAGTTTAATGAAACAAAAGACTATAATAAAGAGATCCTAATACCTTGCGACATACTTTTTGATGGACATGCTCTGAACATAAATTCAGTGGATACAGTAAAAAGTTTTTGTATGAATGTCATGTCGACAAAAATGATAAAATTAGCAATTTTGAAATTTGTGCACCCAACTTGACGTCACCAAATTAGCAAAATGGTTTCCAAATAAAAATTTCTCTGAAATGTGAAGTCTGTATCCAGTAACACTTAGCCGAGGTACAACTTTTGATTCATCCCACGCTATAATGGAGTGGAGTTTGTATCGACAAGGACTAGCTGTTTTTGACAATACTTTCTAAAATATTTAGGATACTACGCGCGCTGTGATTGGTCGAAAACCATGTTTGATTTAAGRAATAAAAGACGAAATTCCGTGTTTGATACTCTGATCAAAACACGCGGGATGTAGGGAGAGCACGAGAGAAGCGTAGGAAACCACGACGCGTAGCGGAGTGGTTTCCAGCTTTTCGAGTGCTCTCCCTACATCCCAAGTGTTTTGATCAGAGAATCAAACACGGAATTTCGTCTTTTATTTCTTTTCTAAAATTAAAAGAATACGAAAATTGTAAARAATTCTGACTTTTGATACGATATGTGGCTGTCGTCTATCTCTGCAAATCTCGAAGTAGCTTCTGCAG